TTGAAATTAGCATCATGCATAATCTCATGTGACATTGCAACATCTTGCATGATCTATTAGCAGTTGAAGTATGTGATGTGAATGGCTTTCAGCTACTACTGCACAGGATATTAGCTGAACAGCTGTAAAATTAACTTAGATATACATGTTTTTAGACAATTTTGCACAGGCTAAGGTTGATTTGTGGTGGTAACCATCTTGAATTTAGTTGAGTCCAAAAGGTGATCAGTTGTAGATGTACATGCATTGATGATTTTCTGAGATTCATTGTAATCCATTCAATGGTTCACAAGATATTTTGCTAACAGACAATCTGTGTTACCTTCAACAGGTAATGCCAAAATTGTGTGGCCCTCAAAGTATGTTTTAGGAATGATGCTCAACTACTTCCACACCCAATTTTAGCCTAGTGTCCATAAAACTGACTGAGTTATAACCATTTTTGTGCATTTTAGGGTCAGTTTGATTGGCGGCCATCTTGAAATGGATTGAGTCTAAAAGTTTATCAGTTGCTGATGTCATTTAAATGATTAATAAAGTGTCACAGCTGGCAAGAGGGTTGGACCCAGAATGCAGACAGCCACAAGTTTAAATAAAACTTTATTTAAATAAAACAAAGACTGTTGTGGCAGGAAAACGTACAAAGAAACCAACATAAAGAAGCACAAGGAACCAGACGTGGTGTGATAACCCACAATGCTCCACTGACTTCTGGACAAACACTGAGCACTTATAAAGGAAAAAGACAAACACAATGAAGAGCTGACAGAGACAGGGCTCAGGTGTGAGTGGGCGTGGCAGGACAAAGGACCAGTGTGGCTGAAAACACACAGGAGACACAAAATGTGATCATAAGAAGAACTCGGGGAAACAGAAGAGATAAAACTCAGACAGATCAGATAAACGGAAGTAAAGGAACTGAACACCAGATTAAGAAGATACAGGAAAACTAAACTCAAGGACCACAAGGGAAACTAAACCTGACCTTAAACACCAAAACAGATCCTAACAGGAAGTTCCATTCAAATCTGTCCACTGGTTCCTGTGCTATTTTGCTAACAGAGTTGATTCCAAAAGGTTTTGGCAACGTTTTTAGCCCAGATCATGTGATCAGTTGGTGCTCAGAGTATATGTTAAAGATCGCTCTCAGCTACTACCACACCAAATCTTAGCTGATTATCAATAACATTGATTGACATTAGCTACTAGGACTGTGCTGATATGGCAGCCATCTTGAATTGGGTTGATGTCAATAGTTAGTTCATGCAGTGATGACTTTCTGGCACTTTTGTTTTATTTCATGTTATTTTGCTAACAGTTCAGACAAATAAACACACAGACAAAAGACAAAAACACTATCATTCTATATTTGGCTTCACATGGTTAGAAATCTGCAAGTTAAAAAGCTGCAAACAAAAGAATACAGTGTGGTATTAAAAGTCGTCCTGGGTGTGAGAGTCTACTTTTGACTTTTGTTACACCAGAGGAAGACATTTCCAACAAAAGGTTCATAAAGCACCATTTTCATGGCTTTCAAACAGCTTGGAGTCCAAGTGATCCCATTTCTTGCGTTTGTGCCGTAACCGTCAGCTGAATGCTTTGCTCAAGGGTAAAACATTATGGCCTCAACCAGAGTTTTGGCCCTAAAGGCTCCTGATTTCTGGCTCCGTGTCACTGCCTTCATTTCTTACAGCTCTCTCCTGAGCTGTCTCTATAACGAGATCTGGATGAGAGAGAGAGCTGCTTTCTTCAACGACGCAGTGGTGGAAAAATAGTTTCAAGCTTAAGGGCTTTTGAAGCCCGATGGCCATCAGTATTCTTGCCATAGCCTCTGTGGATTTCTCTGCTACCTGCAAACTGGGTCAGTTTTTGCATTATTTTAGCGATTTGTATCTTACAGCAAAGCAAGGCGAGGTTTTGCACATGCAGGCATGAAGATGCACACCTGCACTTTGCCTCCCTCTGTTTCCTTCTCCTCCTCACTCGCACCGTTGAGTTCATTAATGTGAGCACATATTTGTCACTTTAACACACAAATGTCAATTGAGAGCCTCTAAATGAGCTAACAGTGCAACAACTGGGCAACCATTGCCATGTTGTACAAAAATAATAAAACAGAGCTACAGAGAGGACTAATATTAATTACAACACTCAAACACAGCCATTTTTCCAATCTAACTTGTACATCAAAACATTCAGCTCAATCGAGAGTTGAGTGCAATGACTTGTTTTAAAGTCATTTTTTATTTTTTTTAACTTTTATACTCAACATAAATTTATTTACATTAATTTACAAATACTTTACTTATGGAAATACATTGTATTATTCTTAGTTACCGGTATTTCAAAAACGTTCCCTATGAAATCTGCTTCAGTGATCTTCATTTTATTTTGGTCTTCTTGTGCTTTTAATTTTTAGCCACCCTGCTACTTGTAGCTTTTAGCTTGCTTTTTGCATTTTAGCTATAATTATGGTATTTTTAGCTAATCTTTGCCTACTTTAAATAAAAACTTTTGCTACTTTTAGTGCTTAACTAGCCTTTTACAACTTTTAGGTTTGTTTAGCCTTTTGTTACTCTTAGCTTCTAGCTAGACTTTGGCTAATGTTAGGTAGCCGTTTGATGCATTTAGCTTTAATATACCTTTTGATTTAGCTTTTAGCTTCTTTTTTTTGGCCGTTTTAGTTAACATTCTGTAATTTTTAGCATTTGGCTAGTTTTTATTTTATTTTATTTTTTTTTACTACCTTTAGCTTCTAGCTAAGCTTTTGATCATTTTAGCTACCCTTATGATATTTTTAGATTTTAGCCAACTTTTGGATTCTTTCAGCTAATATTTTTCCCTTTTAGATAACATTTTGTCAACATTACTGTTAAGTTAGCTTTTTGCTACTTTTTGCTTCTAGCTATCATTATGGTATTTTTAGCTAATCTTTGGCTACTTTAAATTAACCTTTTGCTACTTTTAGTGTTCAACTAGCCTTTTACAACATGTAGGTTTGTTTAGCCTTTGTTACTTTTAGCTTCTAGCCAGCATTTGGCTAATGTTAAGTAGGCTTTTGATGCATTTAGCTATAATATGCCTTTTGTTTTTGGCTTTTAGCTAGTTTTTTGCTGTTGTTAACGTGTTATTTTTAGCTTTTAGCTAATATCTTTTGAAACCTAACCTTTTGATACTTTTAGCTAACCTTTAGCTTTTGGATTCTTTAAGCTAATGTTTTTCCCTGTCTGTTAGATACCATTTTGACAATAATTTTTAGTTAGCTTTTTTGCTACTTTTGGTTTTACGTATTCAGGTTCAGCATCTTTTGCAAAGTTCAACAAAGTCTTTCAGAGAGCAGCATTGCCGCAGCATTTCCTCAGAAAACACAGTTTTCTAGTTTACACAGATTTTTAACTACAGTATATTTTCAAACATATTTGAAAACTATTTCTAGCAGGGATATTTCCACCAAAATTATTGAGTAATGAAAAACTGGCAAATGTGTAAAGGTTTATAAAATAACAAGCCCATGAAATAATTTTGTTTGCTAGTCA